ATTATTTTTTGAATGATTTTCAAATTTTGGTTTTTGAGTTTTTGGTGAAATTTGGCAGTGTGGCACAGTAAATGGTGATTATAGACTTCGCGCACCATATTTAATTATTTATTCAAGAAAAAAAATATAAATAAGCGTTTGTAATTAGTTTTATTCAAAAAAAAAAAGAAATATAAATAGATGTTTGGTTACTTTGAAAAGTTTAAATTTTAAATTTTTAAGTTGCGCGTAATCATGCTTAATCACGTGAGGGATGGTCATATTCCAAAAATTCTAAAAATTATATTGTTTATTATCACCACAAAATTATACTAACAATCGGCAAAATTTTGCAGTTGTCTCACAGAGCACGAATTAATATAGAAAATAATTTGAAAGGATGTCACATGACTGATATTATTAATATTAAAAAATAATTAACCAATAAACGCTCAATATTTTTGTGATACTTGTTGTTTACCCCCTTGTAACACAAATTGAATGTCCACCATGCTCAGCCATGCACGGCTGACTTATCGAGTTTACCTATGTACATTAAAAGAAAATCATTACCAAATTTAGTCGTGAGATTCAATATATTGTAACACAAAAATTATTGTTGCACTTCTGAGCATAACTTTCAAATTTAAAAACCTACGAAAAGAAAATTTGAGACAAATTTTTTTTTTAGATTAATAGACTCCCCTTTTAAAGCTGAATTGAATGGTGGTAAGTTTTTTAAAATCCAATGTGTGGATCACATAATATTTCAAAAATTTTAACTTTTGAGTATAGATGATCTGCACTGTATAGCATAGTGGACACTGTTGCAGATCACAAAAAAATGATCAACATAACATATGTTATGGTGAAAGTTCTTGCAAAAGTTTGATTATAAAAGTGTGAGATAATTTTGATCTTGCTGATGATCTGGACTTAGAGAGGCTACAGCTATATTCTAGTGAAGTTTCAGAAGTAACGGGCTCTGTGTAACCGCCTGCCTATTATACAAATGACTGTTGCACAAAATGAGTGTCCATTATGCTGCACTGTATATGAATTTTTAAAAAAATATCCAGTAAACTGAAAAATTCATTAAATCTGTTAAACCAAGATAAAAAAATTGTTATAGAAAAATTTGGTTTTGAAAATTTATCCACTAAACCCCCAAATCCACTATACTGAGACTCACTGTGTATTATTATTGTTGTAGTTATTTGAAGATGAGGTTCCTGTATAGTCTAATTCCATGGGTTCATATCTATTGTTATTGTTATTATTACTATTACTATTGTTATTATAATTAATGAATGTAATTATTATTTTTTTGGGTTCGCCTTGTATGGGAGAATTTTGCATGCTGATTATTGTTTGAAAAAGGTCTCCCTGTTCCAAACATTGCAGTATCATATTGGATGGCACATGCTGTGGCTTTTTCTAATGTATCAGGGGCTTGGTATGCCACTTCCATCTTTGTTGATGGTTTCAATTCATCTATGGTAATAAGTTACCTGATCTAATTCCCCCATGTCCTCAATCTGCCCAACTGGATTTTGAAATTGAGATGTGTACTCTTGTGCAGTGCTGGTTTGTTGGAGCTTTTTGAGTTGTTGTCAGAGGTATTGTTGATAATTGGGTGGTTGGAAGGCTGTCCTCACAGCAGTTGCAAAAGTCGTCCAGGAACTATATGGTGGTGTATTATTATTTCCTACTACTTTGTTTAAATACCAGTGTAAATGCTGCATCTTTGAATCCAGTTGTAGCGTAATTGACTTGAGTGGCTTCATCTGTGATTCCTTGAGTTCTTAAAACATTTTGTGCTTGTAGTAACCATGCCACAACATTCTTCTTTAAAGGGAGGGATTTGTACTGAAATTTTGTGTGGGTTTATGTTCTGTTGTCCTAACAGTCAGACAAGATTTCACATTTACTGATTTTACTATATGATCGATATAGCATGTTTTCTGTATGACAGACTTTGAAGGAAGAATTGAATACAAGATTATCAATAAACAATTTTTATGCTCTAAAATAAACAGAATCTTGTGCTTTTGTTCATTTAAATTCAATTTTTTACTTGTCAATAGTTTGTTTTGTTATAGTGCAATAGCTTCCCAAGGAGACCCATACTTTTTGACTTTAAAGGCCTAATTATTTATGAAAAACAATTCTATTAAGATCATTTTAGCATCATAAGATAGAGTACATTGAGAACTCTCAGAAAATATATGGTTCATTTGGTTCCTTGGAGGTGGAAGAAATTAAAGACAAAAAACAATTTTATAAGTTATTTATGACTATTTTATATTAGTATCACAAATAGTTGATTTTTTGACCTCTGAAATCAAATCAATTTTAGAAGAAATTGGTCCCAGCAATTTCTGTGGTTTGGTGACTGATCATGCATCCAACATCAGAGGTGCAAGAAAAAATATCTGTAATTCATTTCCACATATTTTCAATGTATGATCTCTTCAAGATCCAATTCATCAATGACTGTTTCTGAGTTAGCCATACTAAAAAAATCAATGTCTTTATTTTTTTTTGTTAAGTAAAATAAGGATTTCCCAATATCTGAGATAAGATATAGTGCGGATCATCTATACTCAAAAGTTAAAATTTTTGAAATATTATGTGATCCACACATTGGATTTTAAAAAACTTA